GAATCTGCGGTTAATGCGAAGTACCGAGGTTCTTTACTACCTAAAGAAGAAAATTTTTCGGATTTCAAAATTCGATAAGACTTAAACTCGGTTTAAATTGGATTCACTAACTTAAACTCCGGTTAACTCAAGTTGTGGAAACGGACTTTATTAAATCGCAGATCCCTGTTAACCAGAATTTCCAGTTTTTAGTTTCTTACGAATCGTGCACCCATATCGTGACCACGTCTTCATCGTACTCCTAAATCCGGGGTTTATCAGATCTGGATTTAGTAAATCCCATGTCGCCATCGTATTAATAAATACGCAAAAATTCGATCCTGAGCGTCTCGATCGACACTTAAATGGATTTACTGAGATTGGAGCTGATAAATCCCGAATTTCGAGTACGATGGAGACGTAGTCTGTGTATCTTTAAATAAATTATTGGACCACTTATTTATTTAAAGCGCGATAGCCAGTCTTGAGCGTTTCACCCCGCTCTTCCCCGAAGGAAGCCGAGGGTCTCGATTTCCGCGACAAAACATTGGAAACTCGGCCAAAAGAAGGAAAACCGTTGGTTGGCGAACTTTGTACCGGTCTACCGGTGGCGCCACCCGAAAGTGCGGCTTCGCAGTGAACATAGTTCGGTTAGCTAGTGCATAGAGGCGCTGCAGTCAGAGGTGGTTAATGGCGGGGGCGGCAATTAGAAGATAAATAAAAAGTAACTAGTGCCACCTACCTGCATGGACGAAATAATAAGAAAGCGAGCGCGTCCCTGGACAAGATCCTTCATTCGTGCGACTGTGCGTTACGTAGAGTTCTAAACGCGGTAAGTTACGTCAGGAACGACGAGAAATTCCTGGTAACTTATCCAAAGCTTTATCTCCCGAGAAATTATGAGAACTTAAATATTGGTGACGGAGTGAACGAGAGGTTACGATTCAAACATAACCTCTCATTCGCTTCGTTGCGCGTCACCGTCTTAAGAATGAAATATCGGCCCTATTCTTGAAACAAACCGCATTAAGTTTTACAGGAATATTTTTAATCGGTAGTAACTAAGACTGTTTAATTAATATTTTTTAGCAATATCCACTACTCTTCAATTTCAACTCCGAGGTGCATTGAAAAGAAATGTTATTCAAACGACTAAACCGAAAGTGTAAGTAACAAAAAGAATTAACGTTCTCATAAATTCTCGACATTCTCGGTAACTTACGGTATGTTTCACGGTTACCTTCTCCAATTTTCTGTTACTGAGAATTTTCGAACTCTAGCGTCACGACGCACCCGTCCGTTCTCGGTCGGACACCGAGGTCAGCGCGAGCCGCGGCGCGCATGCGCAGAAATGGTGAAAGAAAACTGTGCAACGTAAAGAAAGAAATGCGAGTGCCGAGGTGGAGATGACGTTTAATCGTAAATCAATAAAATTAATTAATTANATTATATATATATGCCGAGGGAGAGAGAGATTCAGTGATATATAAAACACTAGAGGTTCCCGAGGTTGGTGGTGCGCAGGTGAGTTCTCCCCTAGGGGTTCCCCTAGGAGTTCGCCGGGCCGTCGCGAGATGGCGTTCGCAACTCCTCGGGGACCTTCGATCGTGGAATTGAGTAGAGATGCAAAACCTCTCAAGAATCCTGCGAGCCTTCCGTTCGGTTGAGGCCGATAAAGAAGAACTTGCCCTCCTCCTGTTGCGCACTTTTCGCGAGATATCCCTCGACTTCCTTCGTCCTAACCTTTTTTATACGCCAACCCTCGCAATCTACTCTAAGCTTGTGCTTTACCTAACCTATGATGCATATTATTCCGTAATTTACATTAATCGCATTGTGGTTGCCCGGCGATCTCGTCGCAGCCGACTCGACGTAAGGCGTTACTAGCTCCGCCATTTTGAATCGCCGCACGCTTGTAAAATTGGACATTTCTGGGGAAAAAAAAAAACCAGCAAGAGCGCGCAGATTAGTGCCGGAAATGACCAATAGTAGCGCTTGCGGTTCATTGTGCCGGAGTTGGTAAGTCTAGTGGAAAGTCACTAGTATGGCTCCTTGGACAAGTAAAGGTGCATTTCCCCCCAAACTCCGTCCAAGCTCGAAGACCATTGGCTATGTAGGCTACGTAGAGATCCGACTTGTCTATTATAAATAGATTCTAACGTTCATCGCGACTGTCTTTGTTCTCGTACTTGACGTCGATTGGTCGTCATGTTCGAGCGAGATGCCGGGCTCTTTGGTATTGTTCTCCATTGGACACGACGGGGAGAGATAGTTCATGTGGACGTTTACAGGCGGCCATATTGAGTAAGTGGTACCCGCAAACGATTGGTCGTTTCTGATCCGGAATAACGTTGCGTATGCCAGGCAGATATGTGGGAGATGTTTCACGCCATGGTCGAAAGTGAGACATGGCTCACTAGCGCCATGGAACTATTGGTTACCTTGGTTAATGCATAAATAATTTTTTTTCCTTCCGCACGTTACGTAACGTGTAAAAAAACCTCGACCTGAGGTTACGACGAAGATTTCGCCGCTTTGAGAGTAGTTCCAACTTTTATAGAGGTGGAGAGCGCGTAGAGGGCGCCAGCGTCTCGATTTCAAATAATGGCGCGATACATCTCCTCGCTTATCTCTTTGCCAGATATCGGGAACGACTAATCAAGAGCGTGTTATTGGAATTTTATATGGCCATCTGTGTCCGAGGCTTCCGGTTTTCCCAGAGATGCAATTCTTGGACAAATTTGTCGCCTTTAAGGCGCGTTTACACGTGTTTAACTGATAAGTTGCTGCATGCGACAAGACGGTCTAATTGGCCCTGCTTTCGTTTGGACTCCGTCGCACTCCTAAATCCGAGATTTATCGGGTCCGGATCCAGTAAATCGTCTCCATCGCATTAATAAATACGTAGGTTTGATTATCAGCGCCTTAATCGACACTTACATTCGGATCAACTGGGTTTACACCTGATAAATCCCGGATTTCGAGTACGGTGGAGACGTAGGCGATGGCCACTAAGAAGAGGTGGATCGATTCCAATTTGAATTGAAGGTTTGCTTGGAAGGGGGATGTTAAGTATCCTTTTGTTTCCATAAAAAGAATTGATTTTGAATGTAGTTTGCTGCATGCAGCAATGCACCAGGCGAAAAGATGGCTTTAGTTACGATAAATGCTAGTGCAAATGCAATTTGTCCTTTATAAGCATTGTGATTTACACGCCTAGGGTGCAGCAGAAGAGAAACCAGATTAGAGGGATTTGATTTGAGAGGTTAGGTTTAGCGCTGGGGCCTCCAATCGAATCACCAGAACCTGACTCCACTCTTTCTCCACTTCCGTTGGTGTTAATTAATGTCCTTATTTATAGTCGGCACGTAAGTGTAATCTAGAGAGCTTTTGATTGGCTCGAGTGCCCTTTCGATTCTCGCTAATCTCTATAAATACTGCTTTCAGGTCAGTCCATAAGAAGCGTTCTATTTACCGGATACGGCGTTCGATTATTCTCTTCTAACCGTTAGGAATAGATCGATAGTCAAGTTTTGTGCCTATTAACGTATCTTACAATTGAGAAACGGTCGTTTTCCTGTCTAATTAGGAAGACGTTTCGCTAATCCGACCTCGATGGACCTTATTAATCCTCGAGGTGTTTGCTTAACGACCGCGAAATCAAAATACCTATAAATATGGACATAGCCTCCGACGAGAACATTGTAGGTTATGTTCCGGTTTTGCCGGTGAATGGTCATGAGTGTCTATGTCTCATCTCTTCATCGTCATATCCAGGGACAGCAAGTAGTGACATTTTCTATCACTATACAGTTTTTTTTTTCCCGCGCCGTTTATGTAGCCAATTAATAAGCGAGTTTACGAACGTTGTAAACCGCTCAAAGTTGTTATACTAAACCGAGTTATTTCTGTCTAAGACACGGAATAGTAATGTCTATTCCTGCAAGGTAGGATTGTACGTATATACGCGTAAATATGGACATACACCGTGTATGCGAGTAACATGTATATATGTATATATAAATGTACAACGTTTTATCCATGTAATTGCCACCCCTGCATTTGGTAAAGACACTCCGGATTTGTTCATAAATTGGCTCTACGAGTTGTAGGATGACTGCCGTGTATACCAGTTTTGTTAATCCCAAAGTGGCGAAACATTGCGTTATAATAAATCACGGGATGATTAATACACCGCGTGTAAGGTCTGTTCAAATTTTACTGAAATAGTAAAATTCCACGCGGAATGCGTAATTGCAAACGGCGAGTAAAGGAAACAAGTCCAAGTCGAATAAAGAATGCAAACAAATCCGGAGGTGGTGTCAGCAAAATCGGAACACAGCCACAGCGTCCTTATCCGCCATTTTGAAATCGCGCGCCGAAAGAATCGTTCGATTTCGCCGGGAAATATGGCTCCAACGGAAATGGCCAATCATCTCCGCGATCTACCTTGTGGAATTTTCAATATGGCGGATTTGGTATGTATGAGCGGAAGCACGCGGATAACCTATCTCTCTCTGTCGGTCCCGCTTTCAGGGGAGAGCACGAGACTCCTCCTCTGAGATGCACTTCCGGTCCGCGACTTTTTCCCATCACTTTCTCTCTCTCTCTCTCTCTCTCTCTCTTTCTCCCTCTCATTCGCTACGATGCATTCACGCTCCCATTCGCTCTCTTTCTCTCTTTCTTTCCTGTTGGTTCGCGCACGCGGGCGCGCTTGAGATTCGATGATCGGCCGCCGGTGGCGCGTCAGTCGCGTTCAAGGAGTTACACCATGGCAGAGGTTGGAAGGAGAATCCGATTTTCTTTCCTGAGTTGACCTGGCAATTACGAAATCGATATTGACTCGAATACATTTTCATTGATTCGGTTGGGTTAAAGGTATGTTCCTATTTCCCTTCCGTTTCGTAAACCAATGAGCAAAAAAGGAAACGTTAACTCGCGTTCCTTTAGAAACAGACTTCGAATGGCGGCGGTGTTGACGGCGTCTAAGGTTTCTTTTAACGTCCTCCAAGTCGTTAGAAAAAGCATAATTCTACAGAGAATCTTGTCTGACAAATGTCAATTAGAATTGAAATATCTTTGGCTTTTCGTTCCAGCTCGGAAATTCTGCTTATTAACTACGCCATCGCGAGAGACGCCTGAGATGGCGCTGCAGCGAAATTGCCCCACGGCCGCCATCTTGGATATATGAAAATGGAAAGGAAAATATCTTTACGCGAGATTTCATCCTGGTTTAACAAATCCCCGGTGGTAAGCGTATCTAGAAGTCCTTATTTCCGTTTAAAAAAAATCGCTGGAAATTCGACGATCATTTTCGGACACTCGTCACGGTGTAACCCCTTAAGAGAGACGAGGGCTGATGTGACGGGGGCGTAGCTTCCCGGGTGGGGGTTCACCATATAAGCTCTCGACTTATTTGGGCCCCGTTTAATTATCGCTAGCAGTAGTACGAGGTGGAGAGTCCCAGCTTGCATGAGAATGGCGCCCTATGGCGGTTGTACACACTTCCGGTGCTGATGACGTCCTTCGTTTCGCAGCGCAGACCCGTGAATCCCTCCGCGCATCTGCAACAAGATATTCGTATTTAGATTAATTTAACGTGCTCAAAAAAAAAAAAAAAATGGAAAATGCCACCGAACCAGAGAATGATTTCTCAGAACAGTACCGATGAAACATTTCGTCGGGTCAAAGAGTTCCATTAAAATAAAATCGATTAAATTGCATGCGACCTTCCTCCGAAATTCTGACAACTTGAGCTAAATATTATTATTAAATTCTTTGAATTATAAAAAAATATATATATATATATACATTTCTTCGGTCCGGTGAATTTTCCTTTTCTTAGCGTAGATTCGTTTATCTTTTTTAATTCACTCTCGCAGTCACGGGAGTTATTGGGGATCGTTAATATTCCCTAATAATTCTGTATAACTTGGTGGTTATATTTTTAACGTCGATTTCATTTCCTCCTCTTTTCTTTTCTTTCCTCCTGCTTTTCTTTTTCCCCGGTGGAAGAGAGTTTTATCTTAGAACTGCAGCTCTTTTCCCCCGGCGAGTTATTCTCTTTATTGTTAGTCGCTCCTCGTGGAAAAATTCACCGCTGGGGACTTTATTTATACCCCGTTTAAATAACCGCGAAGCGAGCAGACTCCACGATCGACGCCGTTAGGTATATCCCTCTCCGTGCACATTTATTTATACCTACGTTACATACATACGTGTGTGTACATACTTTATCGAAGCTTTGGCTCGAGATTAAAGTGCCGGCTCACGCGAACCGGCAGCTATATCGATCCGCATTAAAGTTATCGCCCGGAATCGGAAAGGTCGAAATGCGAGCTGCGATTTCTCGCCCACCTCGGTAATTAGAAGATTGCGAAAAATCGACGTCGATTTCGAGCTAAGAGTCTCGTGGTACGGAAACACTCGTTTCGATATCTGTTGGATATTGGTTATCTCAGGGGGTGAGCCGGATATTAAACCTTTGGGGCCTTTTTTATGAAACTGCTCCAAATTGGGTGTAACCCTTTGGGGCCTTTTTTATGAAACTTTGCTTCAAATTGGGTGTATCAAATCGTTCCCCGCCTTACAACGTGAATATGAAAGCTATGAAGGTTCTGACACCCATGAAATTTCAATTTTTTTTTTTTAATTTGTTTATACACAATTGTTGGATTTTTTATAAAACTGGAGTTTCGCGAGTGCCAGGACCTTCCTTACAGCCTCGGCATTCACGTTGTAAAGTTTTAAATAATTCCGTACACCCAGTTTGAAGAAATGTTATATGAACAATTGACTCCACAGATGAGACTTTGATATCCCCTTAAAGGGAGGATATTGATAATTCCCAGTGGTCCGAAAATAAAGATTTAAATTACTCTTTGGCCTGCAGAATGTACGATGTGCCGTAAAATAGTTTCTTTGCCCGAATTGGGAATAAATTATTGTAACGAGCAATCCATCGTTATTGGGCAACATGGCGTCATATTGACGTTCCCTACATTACCGATGGGAGCCGTTAATTATTATGGGGGTGGACTATATGACAAGCGCCCACAGCTTGATTGGCGAATGTGGGGTCCTTCTAGGTTAGTTCGACACGTAAGGCATTATGCAGGATTATTAACTGACATAATATTGGGCTCGTTCTAGTTGCCCGCACTAACAGCATTAATATGCGAGACGGTTTTAAATCTTCACGATGCGTATACATATTTTCCTACATACATGTATTTCCTAAAGAATTAATTAAGGATTATATGCAAGTGGCGTCAAAGAGGTCTCGCTGAAGAAACTTTTCCCCTGGGTGCAGCGAATCATTTCAAAGTTCACAACGCGAATATGAAGGCTACAAATAAGGTCCTTCCACCCATGAGATTACAATTTTTGAAAAAAAAATTTTGCAGGTGTCTGGAATTTTTTCTATAAAAAAATATGAAATTCCACGGGTGGAGGGACCTTCCTTGTAGCTTTCATATTAATTTTCTAGAGTTTAAATGGATTCGGTACACTTGGTTTGGAGAAAAGTGTCATACCCTCGGCACCTTCACATCACCTTAAGGAACAAGAAGTACAGAGAGTGATTTAAGTGACTGATGCACGTTGGCGATGATGTCTCCCCACGCGAGATCGGCGATAAACTCCCGTCTCTGGACGCGAGTTTTCGCGATCGGTTATCTCTACGCTCGTAACGATAACCGGGCATTGTCTCTGCGGGACGGGAACAAAAAGCAGGCTGCAGGGGCGATAACGAAATTCGAGGTTCCGCCCGTTTCGCAACGGCGCCCCGCTCGATTTTATTTATCTGCGCTCGTGGCGAGAGCCGGATCATTTCGGAGCTTTCGGCCCGAAAGCTCCAGGGAAGGCGCTTTATCGAGGGATCCGCGATCGGTCACGACCAACGCAAATGCTCGGCACTCACGCCATTCTCGGTTTCCTCAATTATATCGAGAATCGGTCGATATCGATGATATCCGTAACGTATACGTATCGTATCCGTAACGTATACGTATCGTATCCGTAACGTATACGTATCGTATCCGTAAAGTATACGTATACGTAACGTATAACGTACGTATAAGGTAAAAGTCTGTGTTCGAATCCGCGGCTTTCCTCAATTATTTCGAGAATCGGTCGATATCGATAATATCCGTAACGTATACGTATCGTATCCGTAAAGTATACGTATACGTAACGTATAACGTACGTATAAGATAAAAGTCTGTGTTCGAATCCGCGGCTTTCCTCAATTATTTCGAGAATCGGTCGATATCGATAATATCCGTAACGTATACGTAACGTATATGTTATGTATACCATACGTATAACGTATCCGTCTGCGTTTTTAACTGAATTTTAACACCGGAAATTTGACTTTGGAAGAAATTCAATAACTCCATTGAGCAATTTCCCTGCTTTTTGCATTACTTACGCTGTGCGTTCTTCGAGCATAACCTCAATTCTTCCCGCATAACCTCAAAATGGGCGCGCATTTCTCGCGTATTCGTCAACGGTGTGAAGATATCTACACATACGTATTCTCTTGTTGGTGGACAATGGGGTGCGGTAACAAGTCCCATACCGGGATAAATATGCCCGGTGGTATCGCCTCGGACATAACATGGACAAACAGCGGCCATTCGTGGTTGCCATTGCTGCGGCCATTAGGGGAAGCGTTCTTATCGTTCGGCCACTCTGGACCGCGTAACTGAGCGTCAGGGTTTCACCCTTTGTGCACCAGGGTGTAAAAGGTCCTTCGAGTGAGGGATAATCTCTCGTGGAGGTTTCCCGCGAATCTCGGTAATACTAAAGGAGTTCGCTTTCGTTTTAGGGGGGTTTACTCAGGAAATTATGGGTTTTAAATCTGTAAATCAAGGGGAGATCAGCTGATGTCGTAAGCGGAAATGACTGGAAATATTTGAAAATTATTTCCGAAACGTTGCTACTATTTTAAGGCCGACTGTCACTTCTTATCGAATCGAATTATTGCTTATCGTATGAAATCAAAGGCAATCGGTTCTTAAAAAAGGAAATCATGGTTTTTAAATCTGTAAATCAAGGGGAGATCAGCTGATGTCGTAAGCGGAAATGACTGGAAATATTTGGAAATTATTTCCGAAACGTTGGAGTTACCGGATATGAAAGGGTTAAGGAACAAGCTTTTTAATTATTAATAATTCCAGAATCTGCCTTTGTCCGAAAGACTTGAGGAAGAGCCGGGATTTTTAATTTCAAGGTAACTCGTCCCAAGTTATGCCGAGATTGTTTCATAACTAGATTTATGTCGTCCCGTAATCGCTAAAGAGGGCGACTATGGGGGATGGAAATCGTAATGGGTGCCAGCTGGTGGGACAGGTCACCTTTTGAGAAATTTCATTCCGCGATGGGTGTTCGCCACTTCGGCCATTTCCCACCCCTGATTGGTCGGATTCCCCGCAATTAGCTGAACTCCTCCACCACCCATTCCAGGGTGGTCTGGAAATCAGAATTTAATGGTGAATTTATGACCCTCCCCTAAGGCACTGGTACCCTCGTACACACCCTAAAAATATAATAATTTACATACCTGTTCCCTCTTTACGCAATTTCTCGTAATTTCTGTAATATATAAAATACTCCATTTACATGATACACCATAGAATCGGTTCGAGATTTTACAACTTTACACGCCGTTACCTATTAATATTAATTAATGGACATTTCCAGCTACCGCACACTTTGACGGAAATGTTTCCGTTAGTTGTACCGGTAAGAAAGTGAAATTACCCGGATTATCCAACGACTAAGCTTCTGTAACTTTAAGGCTCCATTTTTCTCTGGCTTCGTTAATAGAAAAGTTCGGTGGAGTTCCGCGCCAAATACATTTAGGCCACGTGTTCTTTGACGGTACCGAGTGGCTTTTATTTTAAAGGCAAACGGCATTCGGGTATTTCTGACCTTTCATTGTTATATATTCCTTCCATTGTTATCTCGGAATTTTCCTGGCGGAAATGTTACTTTTCTTCCCTTGTAGTAGGAAAGTAAGCGGTGAGGAAAAAGCTTTCGAAGGGTTCGGCGTAAAAAGGTGGATGAAGTGTTGGCAGAAAGGCAACTCAGGACTTCTTAGTCTACGGGAAAGGACGCTCCGATGGATAATGTCGATTCGCGGATGAGCGAGCACTCGTTTCATTGTATTTCGAGTAAATTGGCGCAGGTACCTGGAGAAGCGGGAAATTCAATCGGTCGAATGATCCGCGCATTGGAAATTTCGTTACCGGCCGAGCTTCGCGGAAACGAACTCACCCATTATCCCCATTGTCATAGGAGGCGTTGAAGGGGGAGTTACATTCATTAAAGAGGGTCAATTGTTGCCGAAGGAAAATCCCTCGTAAAAGGGGCGAACCCTCGGATTTTAATATCAATCATTCTAACAGACATTTGCTAATATCTTTACCTGAAAATATACGTATACGTGTCTTAATGCTACACACAAAAAAAAAAAATACATAGTACCAGTAAATTGAGTTACAGAGAATTAAGGTGATGTGAAAGTGGCGTCGAAGAGGATTTGTTTATAAAATTTTTT